TGGATGGATGGATGGATGGATGGATGGATGGATGGATGGATGGAGAGAGAGAGAGAGAGAGTGTGTGTGTGTGTGTGTGTCAATTTGGTGTAGTGGTTAAGGTACCAGGCTAGAAACTGGGAGACTGAGTTCTAGTCCTGGTTTGGGCATGAAGCCAGCTGGGTGACCTTGGGCCTGTCACATTCTCTTAGTCCTAGGAAGAAGGCAGTGGCAAGCCACTTCCAAACATCTTGCCAAGAAAACTGCAAGGAATAGTCTAGGCAACCACCAGGAGTCAACACTGACTCAAAGGCACACACAAAGATGTAGAGAGCATAATGGAACCCAGGTTAAATAGAGACAACCACTGATAATCTGTGGATACAACTCTGTAGGAAAGCCAGAAAAATGTACTGGAGATAAGGTCACTTAGTATTTTATGGCATAGTTTCAGATTATAAACTTCAAATGGGGCATATTCTTCTACAGAATTGCTATGGCAGATAATACCAAATTTCAAATTAATCTACAGGTATAAATGTGACTTTGGCCAACCCTTACTGATAAGGTGAAAATAATTCAGAAATAGTATCAGTTTGAGAATTTTTTAAGAATTGAAGTGTGAAATTGCAGTCATTTATTCAATGACATTTTCCTAAAACTAACCTCTTGACCAGAAAGCGGCTACTGTAGAGCCAGTAGATCCAGGTGGGTAACTGATATTTTGGATTACAATTCCATAACCCTTTCCTGTTAGAAATTCTGACTGGGGATGTTAGGAATGGAAATCCAAAATATCTGGAGAACCCCAAGCCATCTACCCCTTCAATAGAATATTTACCTGAACTTTTAGAAAGCTTTCACAAAAGTCCTTGATGAAGATTGAGCAGATATATTTGTCTTGAATAAAAGGAGAGATACCTTGTGTTTCTGGAACTGACTAAAGAATAGAAAGCAGGAATACAGATAACTTGATACAAACTGACATCAATATTATTGCAGTCATTTTTTTTTTTTACTTCTTCATCCTGAAGTCCACATCATTTTATAAGCATCAAGGTTGCCAATTTTGCTGACCCTACTAAATTATTTAAATGTTGTTCATTGTAAGGAAATGTGAGGTAATACAACCTGAGAAAAAAATCTCAACTTCAGTTATAAGCTGATAAGTGCTGAGTTGGTAAATAATGACCCAGAAAGGTATTTTCAGTTTATGATGGATAGGTAGAAGAAAGCATTGCTAGTGTGTATACAAAATCCACATTGATGATCATTAGAAAATATTCAAAAATAAAAATTTGAAAATTATAATGCCTTTATATGGTTTTATGGCATTATTTCATTTGGAATATTCTACATAGGTCTGGTTCTTGCATTTCAAAAAGATGCAGAGAAAAACAACTAAAGCAATTACAGGGAAAGAGCATTATAGGAAAAATCACAGTGGTTAGCCTTTTTTTTAAAGGCAAGATAAAGAGGAACATAATAGAGATGCATAAAAATAGAATGGTGTCAAGGAAGTGTGAAGAAAGAAGGATTTCCAGAAATGGAGTGGCATATAACTGAAAGTAATAAGATTTCTCCTTTTTATATATATAATACTAGAATATGGAACACAGACAAAGCTAAATGGTGAGAAATTAAAGACAGTTAAAAGGAGGTACACATAAACAATCAAACCTCAGATTTTTTACCATAGGGTGTATTGCTGGCCACAGCAAATTCATGGGGGATAAAACTATCAAGACTAACCTTAACCCTAACCTCAATATGTTCCAAACGTCTCATTGCATAAATCAAAGGTTCTAAAATGAAATGAAGGGAAAATATTTGATACATAGTACTTCACAATATTTATTTATCATTTCAATTTTGAGGCCACCCAACTCCATAGCAACTCTGGGAGGCTTACAAATAAAAACATGAAAGGAAAACAAAGTATATCAAGAAAAAGGAAGCAACTGACCAGAAGACAGAATAAAAAAAGACCAAACAGCAAAAAACTAAACCAAAGGGACTCAACCGCCATCCTAACCCAATGCCTGGGAGAACAGCAAGATCTTTCACAGTTTGCAGGTCAAATGGGTGGGAACAATATGAATCTCTGGAGGGATATCATTCCATAGGGTAGAGCCATCACTGAGAAGGCACACTCCCCAGGTCCCAAAGATGACACTGCTTAATTGAAGGGACTGGAGTATGCCCTCTCTAGCTGACCTCATTAGATGGGCGGACACATATGGAGGCAGGTAATCCCTCAAGTAACATCAGGAGATTATGTCTAAGCACACGTGTATCTGTGTGTATTGTTTTATACTAATTGATAGGAAAACTATCAGGGTCAGGAGACTTCCCCAATTTCATAGATTCAATTGTGACTCTTATTTTTTTCAAGTTATACTGTGCAATGTATACTGGTGCCTTTCTGCCCATTGTGGGCTTACCTAGATGGCCTTTGATCTGATCCAGCATAAATTGTCTTGCATGCAGTTAATCTCATTAAAAATGATTGATCAAAGACTGACCTAAGGGTATCTGTTTTAGATGAATTAAATGAATGTGACTTTGTAGGGAAAGTAAATAGATTTAGGTAGGAGAATCTCTGGCTCTGTAGCTTTTGAAAACAAAGCACAATGCCTTTTCTTAACAATCTTTCAAAATTAAGTGTCTTTAATGTCCATCTTAATAACTACCCCTAGCAAGTAAGGTTGACAAAAAGTTTGCAATGTTCAATTGTTTTAGTATACATTTCTGTGTTCTTCCATCCCTGCATCATTTTTTTTAGCTTAAAAATACATAGGGATGTTATCTAGTATTCTGATACTTGGCACTTAGTTCTAAGTCATCTTTTTGCTTATCAGGAATGACACTGGTTAGATAGTGATCCAATTAATCTTTAGGCATTTGTAATAGTGGGACATTCTAATGAGAGAAACAAGTACAGATTGTATCTTCACTGACCATAAATCAACTCTTCTTTCTCTCCCTCTCTCACATTGTGTTCTAGTATTGATACTTGAAAGAGTGGAAAATGGAGACCTGAGCAACAAAAATTTGAAGATCACTGATTTTGGCTTGGCCAGAGAATGGCATAAGACTACCAAAATGAGTGCAGCTGGAACATATGCCTGGATGGCTCCTGAAGTTATCCGTTCCTCCATGTTCTCTAAAGGCAGTGATGTGTGGAGGTATGTTTATTAACACTAATTTTTTTTATAAGTGATCATCATCTCTAATACTATATTCTTCCTGCACTGAACCCCCAATTGTTGATTTTCCAAACCTTATGTTAATATTGTATATCTGTTCTGGATTATGAAATCCACACATTCATTTTGCAGATATTATTCTAAATTTGTATATATAGATTTGGAAGTTTTTTGGCTTTTACTTCCTGTTGAATATGAGTTGTAGGCAGACCACCAACTATTGATTGATCTGTTTTAAATTTATTAAAGCTTGCAGTCAAATTATTGTAGCAAACATGATATTTCCAATTTTCTAAATTATGCTAGGTTTATATTGTAAAATGGATTGCTACATAAAAAAAAATTAGCTTTCCTCACTACTCTTGAGATACCAGTTGTCTTAAAAATAGGAAGGTAAATGCTTCCAGGAGCTTATATAGCATTAAAGACACAGTTTCTTTAAAGAGGTGCTAACAGGTATGGCATGTGCACAAACCTGCACTGAAGCACCTTTTTGGCTTCAGTTTCAAAATGTAGCACAACTCTAATGGGGAACCTTAAGTACCCCCAGTTGGGATGAGTGCACAGAATAGGTAAATCTATATGGAGGAGGCAGTTCTACAAGGAGGACACAATCCTGAAAGTACCTGAGACCCAAAACATGTATGGTTATATAGCTTAAAACCAACACTTTGAGTTGTACCCTGAAAGCTTTGGGGAATCAATGAAGGTGTCAAACCCTTAATCAGCGATGCGTGACTAAGGAGACAAGATTACTCAGTGTCATTAATCAAGTTAATGCCAGGGGGAAAAAAGGTTAGGATATAGAATCTTGGAAACTGAAGAAGTAAAATTCCAGCCCTCATTTATTAGTGAAAACACTAAGGCAGTGTCTCAGCGAGTTGCTTCAACTTCTTTCTCTCTGATTCTGGCAGATTAATGTCTCTTTTAAGAGAGGAGACTGAAACATCCCATCTGTTCTTTATTTGCCATTATTTAAAATACTCTTTTCTTCCTGAGGCTCAAAAATTATCTTAAAACAGCACCCAATTTAGCATCAGTACAGAGTAATATTCAAATGCATCCCTATATAAAACACACAGCACTATTCTAGTCTTGGGATGATAAAGGTGTGAATTACAATTGCCCTTTCCCTCCAGGTAGGGGCACAACTGGTGCCCCATCCAAAGCTGATCAAAGGCTCTCCTGGCCAGTCTCCACCTGCAAATCCAGCAGTAGCCATGCATCCAAGAATAAGCTGTATTCACAGATCTGCTCTTTAAAGGGGGACTGCCATCTGTATCCTGAATTAAACTCATTTAAATATTGATGAGAAGTCTGACCTGATATGTATTATTGAGGCCAGGCTGGACATCAAAGGGGGGGGGGAGCTTTTGGGAATGTACTCAGCCAGGTTTCAGATGTGATAGCTGTAATCCCAAAGCAGGGGTGAGAGAGTGGCTTTGACCATCTGGGAGATTTGTGGTTTCCATAGGTGGTGATTCATAGATAACCAGATATGGGGGCCTGTCCATCAAGTTGGATTCTAGAGATCAGATTGGACTGCTGCAATTGTATCAGCCTCCCTGAAGCATAGCTATCTTCCTCACTGAGTTGCTGTGGCCGGGCTGGTAGTGCTAGTCTCCAGGCTTATGAACCCGGGAGCTTCAATCTGCCTTCCTTGGATGCGGAGTCAAAAGCAGCTCAGGAGTTCATGGCTGCCATGGCAACCCTGGACATGACCCAGATCATTACACATGGTGGGGTGCGGGGAGAGACATACACCAGATATGGTTTTTACATTGGGGCAGTGGTAGCATGGTCTGGAATTGAGGGATGTTACTTATGATAGCCAGATCACTGCTCACCACTACAGAGAGGAAGGACCTGTTTGATTAGTTCACTGCAAGCACCTAATGGACCCAGTTGGATTTCAGAGGGAGCTTGGGTTGATTTGACTGAGGCCTTAGTTATTGCTTGAAATAAGTGGGCAACAGGGGTCTTAGACTGAGCTAAAATTATAATACAACTGAAAAACTATATTCCTAGAATTCCTAAGGTATGAGAAATCTTCCTTAGAGCGCTGATATCACTGGCTGTCTAAATGATCATATAAAAACTTCTTCCAAATAAACACATTTTTAAATGTTACATTCATAAGACGACTAACTGAAAGCAACCCCATTCACTTATCCCCAATGATGTTCTTTCCATGGGTACATGTAGCTTAATTGTATTAGAACATTTATTTTTATATATAAGAAAATAGTGATTCCAAATTTTTTTGTTAGAGAATGGTTCTAAAAGTTACTACATTAGTTATTAAACTTCTGTTTTGTATTATTCATAGTTATGGGGTATTGCTTTGGGAACTG